CCCTAGCCTCATCCTAGCATATAATATATCATATCAACATGTATGGATATTATAGGAATCATTTACTTGAGCTCGACTGATTGTACGCATCACACTCCCTTTTTCTTTATAAAAATCTTTTTCAAAAACTTATTTTCTATTGAAAAATATTTTTAGAAACTTATTTTCATTCAAAAGATTACCAATTCCCCAGTTTGAGTTTTGACATACCCGAGAGTGTGCCCGAATACCTCAAACCAAGGCTCTGATACCAACTTGTAACGTCCCGAAAATCCAAGGTAAATTTTTCATTTTTAAAACAAATAAGCATACAACGAGTTGTGTCGGGTCCATATCAACCCTTGGGTCCGTATCAACCCCGAGTCCATAATGACTATATATAACAACTTGTATCTTTGTTGAGTCTGTATTAACCCCCCGATCCATATCAACCCTGAGTCCGTAATGACTCCGAGCCCATATAGCTCAATACATAAATTATACAAGCATATAAGCATGAGTCACAAAGAGAACAAGCTATTATATCAACAAGTGTCACAAAGCCAACCATCATCCTACAAACATAATCCAGTGGGCCAGCATTGGTGCCTTCGACCCACGAGTACAGTGAAGAGACTCACCTCACAATTTGAAAGAATAGCTTCACCGATCACTGATCTAAAAGTTGTCTTTACCGGTCACCTATACAATTAATAGGAACTCAAATCTCAAACTATAATTCAAATTACCCAAAATGCCCTTAGGTCAAACTTGGTCAAAGTCAAAGTCAACAGTAAAGGTCCAAAAGTCAATATTTCTTTCCAGCGGAGTACGCCTAACGTACTCCGATGTTGATGAAAAGCGGGGCGCTCAATGCGTATGCGCAGCGTACCACTAGGTAAGCCAAGTATACGCAACCTAATCCCAAAACTCCATTAAGAGCTTATTTCATTAAGCCCTTACGTCAAAAAATCATATCCAAACCCACAATGTTGTCCTAAGTCACAGAGTTTCCAACTTTATGACTTTGCACGGCTATAAAGTGCTTAATGTCCAAAACCCTAAGTTCTTAACCCAATAAGACATCACAACTCTTGTATGAAAGGGATAGAAGGGCCAAAATCACATTTTTATGGTTCATAACAGCTCCATAATGGATAAAGTTTCCAACTTTATTCATTAGAATGGTCCCAACAAACAAATGGATCCAAAAGTACATCTTTTTTAATTTAATCCATTAAGTCCAAGTCTCTAACCTTCATATATGAATCAAAATGATGTTTATATGAATAAAGTTTCCAGCTTTATCCATAACAAGATCACAAACTTTTAAGATCTAAACTTTATGCCCTTAAAGTGACCAAAAGCTCATAACACCCAAAACTAGCTAGATCGAACAATTTCATCCTTAAGATTCAAACTTTATACCTCTAGAAGAAAGGTCAAGGTGAATAAAGTTTGGATCTATAAGCTCCAATACAACCAACTCTTCTTCAATGAGTTCCTTCTTCTCTAAGGTGCTCAAAGAAAACTCAAAAGAACTTAAAAACACCTTTTTTTCTTACAAGGCTCAAAATAGAGTTACGGTTTCAAGAGAGGGTGTTGGAGAGGTGGAGGCTACGAATGAAATGGGTTTGGGGGAGTTAAGGGGCTTAATTAGGGCTCAAACCATAAAAATAGGGTTTGGGCATTGATCGTGTATGTCTAACATACTCAATTTATGCCCAGCGTACTAGGGATGCCCTAGTGGCTAGTATGCCCAACGTACATGTTGAGTACGCCCAATATACATGACTCAACCCAAAATTACCCTAACTTCAAACGATCATAACTTCTTCGTTTCAACTCTGATTTCGACGATATTTATACCCACGGAAAGGTGTTGAGAAGCTCTACAACCCAATCAACTCTCATTTTCCTTAAAACTCACCAAACTTAAATCCAAAATTTATAAAAGGCCCGAACTATCACATTACGGTTATACCCTCGGGCTCCAAAGCACCACTCGAACTCTCGGATCACCTAATATACATTACCCACATCCAAAAGGGGTCTAAATATCTCTTTCCCCCAAGACCAGAAGCCTTATGATAACTGATCTTCGGGTCACGACCCCAAATTACGAAACGATTTGAAACATGGTGTTACAGATAGGGTTGTGTGAATTAGTGGTCGTGATAGGTTAGTGAAAGTTGTGCAAAATAATAAGCTGTGACTTGTCGTTCCTACCCAAAAGTACTATTGTACTGTCGGCGTGCTGTGTTGTCCAAAGTAATTTTGTACTACCGTGCTAATCCAAGTACTATTCTACTGGCGTGTGTGTCGTGCTTATCTAAGTACTATTTTACTGTCGTGCTTATCCAAGTACTATTTTACTGTTGTGCCTGTTGTGTTATCCAAGTATTATTATACTGTCGTATCTATCCAAGTACTTTTGTATTGTTGTGCTAACCCAAAATGTTATTATGCATGCTGACAAATATCCTTTAGGAAAGATCTCTCGATATCATCTTACTAAGACTAGAAAGTGATGATAACGAGAATGGTGTAATTGGGTTATTTGAATGCTGAAGAATATATAATTAAAAATTATAATATTGTGGGTTGAAAACCCTATGTATCTCATCAGATTTCCCAGCCTGACCCACTTAGTTTCTTTGTATCACAAGTAGCGATATGAAGGTACCGATAGATAATGTAATTATCTATTGAGATATTTAAGGAGATGTAGATCTTTAGTATATTAAGATATTGTAAGTCTCTGTTTATGCTTATGTTCTTGTATGAGTTATAACATTCCAAGTTTTTAAATATAAATCTTCTAATATGCCTTGATGTTGATGTTATATCATGTCAAAGATATTTTGGGAAAATTCCGCAATAACATATGTTTTAAACAAAAATAAACAAAAAGTTTTAAAAATGTCGTGAAATTGGTGATGTCACATATGTGTGCTACATCAACACTCCTAACACCTCGAATACTATTAATGAGTTCTTTAACCATGTTGCGGCCATCTTTAAAAATCAAGTTTAAGATATGAGAGACACATGTCATATGAAAAAAGTCAACCCTTAAAACAAGTTTCATTGCAATATTTTCTTTTACATAAACAAGAGCTTGTGTAATCCATAGTCATTCGATATTTTTTGTCCAACAGGTGCCAACAACGACATCAATGTTCTAGATCAATCGTTGATATTCAAAGACATCTACCTTGGGAAATTATATAATGTATTGTTTGAAGCAAATGAGGCATCATACAAGCGTGAGTATTACCTTGTTGATGAGATAAATCATGAGTTAGTTACATTTGTGAAATTATTTTTATATCCATACGAAGAAAAGCGATTAAAGTTTAAGTCAACCCAAAAATCAGTTAAGAAGGATATTGAGCGAGCCTTTGATGTTTTAAAGAGACGTTGGCAGGTACTCTCAGTACCAACACGATCATTCAAGCGAAAAAAGAGTAAGTAGTCTGATGTACACATACATCATATTGTATAATATGATTATAGAAGATAAGGGAAAGATGATTTGTCATTACAATGAAAGTACGAATTTGCCAACATTTGAAGGAATGAATAATGGTACGCCCAAATACATGGTAAAGAAAGGGAAGTATACGACTAAGTTGGACACAATAACCTTCTTGTTGATTCGGTGGAAAATGTCTTTAATTCTTAAGTAAATCCCGATGTCGACGATTTTTATGACGATACAAGTGACGATTCATATATGTTTGTAGATGATTCGGGTGAGGATTACGATGACGTTATGACCGACGATGATTAGGTGTGATGTACTATTCTAATATGTTTCTATTATGTTTTATTTACTTATGTTTTTTAGTATGTATTATTTAATTAATGAAATAGTTTCATTTTATTAATTTCATATAATTACATTTTATCAAATTACATTTTATACTTCTAATCAAAACAAACAAAAATATGGTGAAGTATGGTACCATTTCTATTAATTTTGTGGAGTGAGAGGAGGGTGAGAAGAAAATAAAGTAACGCTAATACGGCAGACCGAAAATATGATAAGACGTGGTAATTGGTACCACACATAACCTAATCATTAACAGTTACTTATATTCTATCAATGATAAAACATGGATCTATGTTAGTTCTACAAAACAATTAAATTACATCATGGGTGCGACATAACTTATATAACGTGAACATAAAATTAACATTTAAGTCTTCCATTCATACACAATGTGAACTTGATAAACATATATTGTGAAACAAAAACAACAATTTTAAACATATACTAATGAACAATACTAATTTCATTATGATTTAAAAAGATCAGATGATTTTTTTTTGAACGGCGAATAAATGATATATATTAAACCAAAACCAATAGCAATTGCTACAAAGAAGTACAGGAAAAAAGAAAAATAAAAGAGCAAAACTATTTACAGCAACAAAATGAGAGAAAGGAGCATGTAACAGCTAGCAAAAAAAGGAGAGCAACTCCATTCCATCCAAATGTTTTCAAATTGCCCCTATATTTGCACCATTTGACCACCTATAGTATGATTAAATCTGCCGTTTTTAGGAGAAACATTTGTTTTGTTGAAGAGTTTCTCATTGCTAGCCAACCATATATTCCAAAATGTCGAGTAATAAATAGATCGTATTAAATACCAGCCTCTTTTTGGGACAACCCCCCAAGCACCTACGAAATCAATACATATATCCCTATATACATTCAAAGTAACAAGTTTATATCCCACTCCTCCTTCGATCAGATGTATTTGACATATGCTTAAACTTGGTAAACTTTCGGTTCCATTGCAAATAACATATGATACAATGAATATCAACTAAATGATATAAAGTATAACATGACAATTCAATTAATTGAAAAAGTAATCTACCAATAAATAAGTTATTAGAAATCCAAAGATTTAAAAACTAAATATTAAAAATATAGTTTTTAATATTTATGAACATACAATATTAAGTAGCGGTGAGTCGTATGTCCACTTGTTTCAAAATAAGGCGAAAGCCGTCCACATGATACTGCATGCGCCGTTCCACAGACACCCAATCCCACACCCGCAAAACCGCTACCTTTCTTCCACATCACGCGAGTTTCACATTGCCAACATGGCCTATACTTCAATGATACGTGTCCTTTTTTCATACATTAACTATTTTTTATAAGACGCCAAACATGATGTGGCATGACACGTGTCACCTTCTACCTCTCCCTTCTTCGCGACTACTAACATGGCTTCTTCACTCTCTCTGCTCCTCCCCACTCAACTGGTGGTATTGACTAATCATGGAGGTGATTAAGGGATCGAGTTCAGAAAATGCCGGGGAAGATCACCGGATGTTGGAAGCGGCTGAGGCGTTGGCGGCGTTAGGTCATGTTGGTGAATCGGTTAGCGAGCGAGTCAAGGCCGAATCAAACGCTGGTAACTCGTGTTTTGACTTAATGGAATCGTCCTCGAAGCGTCCCATCAATGTCGATAAGGTTTCTTATTAACCTAATTTTCATCGATGGCCATGTAATAATGGTGTTTTAACTTTTAATTTCTATTAGTGTTTTGAATTGTTACTTCGTATTTACCATCACCTTCACAAATCACATCGTTCACTTTACTTATTGTTTCTTATATGCATGGTCAATTTTGACAAGCTGTATAGCAATTGAAAAATGCAACATCGAGTCTAATGGGGCACATAAATGAATGAAAGGTCCTTATCTTTTCAAGTTGTCACAATCCCAATTCAATAAATATGTTATACAATCCATACGTATTTTAAATGCAACAAATAGTAACTATCATTTGTCTTCTTCAATCTTTATGGTGTCAATATAAGTCACTAACAGGTCCTTGTCTTTTCTCAATATTTTATTAATTGCAACTTGCATTAAGTAAAAGATCAAACCGGGTACTCTATGAAATATTGCGAGTAGCTTCTACTTGATTCGTTTGTAATTTTCCAAAAGAAAAAAAAAAGTAAAAGATGGACTTCTATATTAATAAAAAGTTACCTCATTTATTTTTGTCAGCAATCGGAGAAGACATGCATCTGGGCTGAAAAACCGGTGAACAATGAATGGAATACAGAACTTGCGTCAAATGTTTCTTATTCCACAAAATATTCAACTTTAGGTGGCAGGAGACATAGAAGGACTTTGACCGAGGTAACAAGATCTGTCTCCTTTTTAGTTGTATGTCTATCTCTATTTATTTTCGTGCAAAAATGGGTTATCCCAAAATGAAATTTATCTACACAGCTAGATGACTAGTATAAGAATCCAGAACCATAATTAATGGGTCATTGTATATAAAAAAACATAGAAATTAAAAAAATAAAAAATAAATATGTTGCCCTTTTTGGGGTCTTTAGGGTTCTTTCACAAAAAGAGAGTCCCAAAAAGGTAATAAAATTTTCTCCTATAGTGCCATAGGAAGATAAGTAGAGACATTTAGTAAGACCAGAAATATTTGGTAAGATGATATTGAATCTCTTACCCAAAAAATACTTAAGTGGGGCCTGACTATAATTTTTTTTTCTTTTTTGTTTACAGTAGCTAAATATATATTGAAATTTAAACTCTTAAATTGAAACTCCTATACTAGGAGTTTATGCCTAGAACTTTTTTGATACAGGCGGAAAAGGAAGCGTGTAAGATACGCAGAGTACTAGCAAACAGAGAGTCAGCTAGAAAAACAATCCGCAGGAGGCAGGTATTGTATTTTAAAACTTTTATTTCGAGATTTTTATTATGTAAGATAATATATATGGTAGATAAAATTCTTTTTACATTACTGAGGTTTCTCTTAATTTATGGTGAATTTTCAAGGCCATATATGAGGAGTTGGCCAGAAAAGCTGGTGATCTAGCATGGGAGAACAAAAATTTGAAAAGGGTTGGTCTATTTTTTCCTGCATTATTTTCTTTAAAATTTCATGTTTTGGATTTATGACAAGGATTTGTCATTTTAAGTAGCGTAGTTTTGCATTTATAGCCTTATAGTATGCTTTGGTACGTTCCTAACATTAATATCGTGGACCTTACAAATCTAAATTTTGTCCCCACTTCCTGCACAAATCTTTCTTAAAATAGCCCCACACACTTGTCCCCTAGTAAATGTATCTCATCAATTATGTTTAATAAACTCAGCAAAACAAAAATGTGAAGATAAAATAATAATAATATTAGTAATGATAATGATAATAATAATAATCTAATGGTTTAAAAATATGGAAAATGGCTCTAGTGATTAAGTTGATAAACTGTTTTCTGTTTTTTAAATTGATATAAAAAAATAAACGGTATCTTAATATTTCAAAGTTAGTTAATTGTTAAAGAACTTATGATTTCTTATAAAAAAATGTTTATGAGCTTATGCGGTACCAAATTTTTGTTTATTAAATAATGTTTGGAATAGTTTATTCGGTATCAAAACACAATAAGTGATAGTTGTTTTTTAGTAATTGGTAGATACTGCATGCTATTCCTTATATATATATATATATATATATATATATATATATATATATATATATATATATATATATATATATATATATATATATATATATATATATAGGGAAAAGTGAATATACTCTTAAGGGTATATAAGTTTAGGTACCCAAACTTACCATACTACATCGTTGTGTATCATATATAAACATTGTAATTGTCCAATGTTCTTATAATTCAACTTTTAACTTGAACTTCAAAGATTCTTATAAATTTCATATTTATCTTCCTCTTACATAATTGTTATTTTCAACAATAATATATAACCTAGTAAGTGTTCGACAAAAAGATGTGATGTAAGAGGAAGATAATAGTGAAAATTTAAAAATATTGAATATAAATCAAGTTAATGATTGAAGTTTAACAATATTATAACGAATATATCAAACAAAACGACGTATTATTATGAGTTTGGGACGTAAGTTTATATTCCCTTAAGGGTATATTCACTTTTCCCATATATATATATATATATATATATATATATATATATATATATATATATATATATATATATATATATATATATATATATATATAGGTTCTATGAAAAACAAAAAACCCTAAAAATCATTAAAATGCATAAAAAAAATACTGAGAGATCACAAAACTTTTTTTTGAATTTTTTTTGTCAAAAAATCGCAACTTTTAAGTCAAAATCACTGAAAAAAAAATTTTGAAAAAAAAATTTACAAAAAAAAAAAAATTTGATTTTTAATTTTTTTTCAGCGAAATTGTAAAAAATGCTGTGATTTTTTGATAAAAAAATTCAAAAAAAAATTTTGTGATGTCTTGGTATTTTTTTATACATTTTTATGATTTTTAGGGTTTTTTTGTTTTCCAAATAACCCTTCCTTATATATATATATATATATATATATATATATATATATATATATATATATATATATATATATATATATATATATATATATATATATATATATTTATATGTGTGTGTGTGTTATATATTAATGATGAAAAGAGAAAACTAGGTTGTTGCAATATATATAGGATTTTTATTTTTATGATTGAAATAGGGGTAAAATGGTAAAATGGCTATTATGGCCTTCATCTATAATAAAGAGTTTCAAATAAGTTAGAAGATAACAAATTATCAAAAACTTCTTATTTGGGCCCATTATTTTTTTTCTTATTATTTCATCCAAACAACTAAAAAGTGTTTATTACTAATAAGCGTTTGAAATAAGCAATCTCAATCACCCCCAAAATTATATCTACTTTTGTGGTTAGATCACGTGATGAAAGTACTTCATGCTATTTTGGATTTTGCCCAATTTCATACCTTGGATGATATTTTACGAACAAAATCTGTCATTTTTAGCAGCCTAATTTTGTGTTCCCAAAAGCTTGGAGTGTACAAATCTAAAATTTACCTCCCATTTGTTATTAGAAAAAGGAGATGGCTTCAAAAGAGTTGGACATTTTGAAGGTTACAAACGAATGCTTAAAAGCAAAGGTAAAAATATGATTAAGATTACGGTTATGCAAGAAACATCAACCTACTTTCATATTTATGTTTATTATCGAAACTTTTTTCAATTAAAACATTGTACTTATGATTTTTTGTAGAATTTTATAATAAACAAATAAACAATAGTATGTTCCTATTTCTTGCAATTAACCCCTAAAAATTTACACCAAGTACTACATCTAATACGTGTCTCTTCTTGTAGATGATCAAGATAACGAAGATGTATGGAGATCCTTACTGTTCTTCATCAACAAATTCTCCGATTATGATGTATAATCAGTCATCATTTCCCCCTTTCACATGGCCTCCAATGATTGTACTCCCTTACCCTTGGCTTTTTCCTTTTCTCCAAAATAATAATCAAAACCATCCCCATTTTAATCTAAATGAAAAACCGGTAGAGTCTTCTTCTTCCCCGGGCAATCTACTTTCTGATAGCAAGCAAATTGTGCATAAAAATCATCAAGTTCCAGTTAAAATAGTATGTGACATGGCGGCTGCAGCTGAGGCCAGAAAGAGGAGAAAAAAACTCAAAATGGAAAAGAGTCTTTTTTGCCGACAACGAAGGATACGTTAAGTGAAGTTAACAAACAGTTTGAATGAAAATTTGATAGTTATGTAAAAAGGGTTATTCTTCCAACAAACTGTTGACCTGTGACATAAAGCCCAGTGTCCATCCACATTGGAATCAAAACTCCCAGTCTGTGTATAGACCGTCTGCAAAGATACTTTTTTGGTAAGTCTTGGACGGTGAATCGAAAAATGATGGTTTTGTTGATTTCGGGTTTTTTTTTTAATTCTTTCTTTATATTAAATTTTTTGATTGTGTTACTTACTAGTTGTTGGATTATGGTGCCTGTTTCTCTTTGTTTTTGCCTCTAGAAAACGCTTAAAGGTTTAATGTATGCTGATGTGTGCTGTTAAAGCTGGAGTGTTCCAAAGCTCTTTTCCAACCATGATAGGTATTAACAGAATTTTTTTTCATCCTTTTTAATTGTGGTTTTGATGTTTGGGTAATAGAGATGCCTAAAGATGGACCTAATTGTGATCTTGATTTAGTCATTTAGAATTCCAAAATTCCACATATTATACATATGATGGTTTGTCGTTTGAAAATTTCTTTTTATGATATAGGGTGTTATAAAGTTGATTTTAGAGTTGACCAATTTCAATATTTGCAAGATCTGAATTTCGTATTGGTTTTAGGGATAAATGCAAGAAATAGTAATGTACCTTCATTTATTTGTTAATTATAACATCCTACTTTTATTTAATTCGATTACAACATTGTTCTTATTAAAGCGATGAAAATATACCAATTACAACATCATACTTTCAATTTTTCTTATTAACTAGGACATTATGCTTTTAAAAATCTACCCAATCATAGCAATGGATATTTGTAGATTTTCCAAAAATTTATGCTCTAATAGGAAGAATGAAAGTAGGATGCGCTATTAAACAAATCATTATGGTTATAGTTTTCTACTTTATGGTGGGTTTGTAATGTAGTAAACTCATATATCATTTATTTTTCAGACAAAAGTTCTAATACTTTTTTTTTGTAACAGTGAATGATTGCTAAAGCCGAAGTGAAGATCCAAGTAGATGAAGAAGTAAGAACACTATTTTTTTTTTTTTTTTTTTTTTTTTTTTTTTTTTTTGGTTAAGTGGACATGACAAATTTTGATATGTATTAAATTTATTTTGGAATTGATTATGAAGTATGAATTTGATCTAGTTATGATATGATCATGAAACGTGATTATTGCACACACTTTTCCTTTCAAGGGGTAGTGTTTATTTTGTACTACATCGTGTAATTTTAGGGTGTTGCTAAAAAAATTTAATGATGAGACGTAATTTTTAGACCATAAAAACTTCCACGGAAAATTTTCAGCTATTAAAAGTAAGGGGGATGATTCTTCCACAGACAAATTTTTATTCATTCACTGATAATTATACTTATTTGTACCTTTTTTTGCACTCACCTCTCTCTGTCTCTTCCCTGGCTGTATTCTCTTTCTTCAATAATTATAATTGAAACAGGGAATTAACACAAGGGTATAATCGTCGATGCATATAAACTTCAGTGGATGTATAAAAATTTGTTTGTGGAAGAATCACCACACGAGCCCCTAATATGAATCATTTGCTTTTTTCCAACAATTTACTGAATAAAAGACATTTGACAACATTTACTCCATGGAGCAGCAATTTATCCACATATTACTGGATTTTTAAAAAAAACAAAAGCAAAAAGAAAAACAAGCCGGCACCTAGTGTGTACTTGTGTAACATCTCCATTAGGAATAAATTAAAATTTTGTTAAAATAAATTAATTATTTAATTAAATAAAAAATAATGGAACATAATAATAATAATAATAATAATAATAATAATAATAATAATATTATTATTATTATTATTATTATTAATTGGAAGGCAAAAACCATAAGATTAAATAATGAATTTGGTCAAAATGTGAATTAAGACTTAATAAAATAAACTTTTTCTAGACCAAATGGATAGAAATATTGCAAGGAAGGGTTAAAAAGGTTATTATGGGAATCACTAGTTGTTTATGTTTTCACATGTGGTTAAATTGAGAAAATAGAAAGTTAAGGTAATCTTGAGGAGATAAAAAGTTAGTCACTTTCTATTAATCTTATTTTATTGTGAGAGAGAGAGAGAGAGAGAGAGAGAGAGAGAGAGAGAATGTTTCGTTTACAATCTGTAAATACTTAGATGGACTCTCGAGAGAACTCCAACGTACCACCAAATTGATGATTTGTCGTAAATTTGCATGAGAATGGACCGACATCATTTTAGTGACTTTGACACTTTGTTCACTGAACCTATTAATCAAGCCACAAAAGGTATTTAGTATTAGGCAAATTACATAAAAAACCAAAAAAAAAAAAAAACAACAACACACGAAACATTTCCAAAACAATAAGGTTTTTCCAAAATGAATAAAGCTCTTTCTAAAAATAGATTTCACTAAATGCACAAGTTATAGATATAGAAAATGCATTCTTCATAAAAAGAATAATATAAGAAATCAATTCAACCAAAATATCAAAGTAAGGTTAACGACATAAACTCACATCAAATCTTCTAAGCACTTCTAAGTACTCTACTTTCCTTTCAAGAGTTGTATGAAGCCCTTTTAACCATCCATGGTTCATAATTAAACCATTAATCAAGTTCTTATAAAATAAATACAGTCTTAAACCTAGTTTATTATTCAATCGACCTCATTCCAATCATGGCATATCATTATGGAAGTACTAAGGAAGTTATGTGATGGTTTTTGGCTAAAGTAGGCTTAATCAAGAATTACACTCAATTCAGGAGAGTACATAACCCATATGAAATATTTTTGGCATACCTACAACCCGTTTAATACATAGGCTATGTCAGTGTTGGGTTATTATTCAAAAACACAAGATTAACTTTTAATAACATAAACTAGTTTTATTAACACCAAATAATCATCTTGCAAAGATTGAAAAGAAAAAAAAAACCATAGGGGAAAAAGATTAACAAAACATTGCTTTGAATGACTCTCTCTCTCTCTCTCTCTCTCTCTCTCTCTCTCTCTATCTGTCTCTCTCTCCGGTCCATCTAAGTATTTACAAATTGTAAACAAAACATTGCTCTCTCTTTGTCACACCCCGAAACCAAGATAGCGGAATCGTTCCAGGGTGGAGGACGTCATGTTTAGCATCACAACCATTGTATAATAGCAATCATAGTAACAGAACCATTATAATGAATATATATATATATATATATATATATATATATATATATATATATGAAAAATGTTTACATCAGTATGAATCTTTTTTTAATTACACCAAAAGTGTGTAGAATATAAAAACATGACTCTTATTGCTACGGCTCCTCTAAATCCAAAAAGCACCTGTCTACTGATTTCCTGAGAATACAAGTAATTTGAAAGAATATTAGTATAAAGCTGGTGAGTTCATAAGCATTTAGTTTTGGTGGAAAATGTTCTTTGATTCTTTTGAAAATTGTTCCTCAATAAAATCCCATATTTTTTTTTTATGAAAAGTAGTGTTGAAAGAGTATCTATTAGTAGAAAATAAACCATCAGTTTTAGAAATGTCGGCGTTATCCTGGGAAAAATCCCATATTTTTCCCTAAAAACAGGTTAACCATCCTAGAGGTAGAGATGCAAGTTTAGAAATCCCTGATTACTATGAGTGTATTTATGAAAGTAGTTTTATTACTCAAAATAAAACAATGAAGGGTAGAGTCCGTAAACCGAAGTTAGTTTATACCTGTAACAACCCAAATTTTACAAAGAAATATTTTTTCGTTTTAATTAATCAACCGATTACACATTCCATAGGTTTTCAAAACATTTGTTTCCAAATCACATTCATTACATCATTGTTGTCTTTTTCTGAAAACATCAGAGAGTCCCAAAACATCCAAAAGAGAGGTAGAGTACGCGCCGCGTCATCATGCCTTGCCCTTGCCCTTAGGCTCCGAAGTATCTGCAACAATCAACAACCTGTAAGCGAAATGCTTAGTGAGTTCCCCAGAGCATACCACACACAATACACACAAAACATATCCTGATAGCCATAAAAGTTACACACATACACATAAGCCATGCATACATGAAACCTGTGAGAATGTCATGGGCTACCCCACATGGTCTTTTCCAAGGACTGCCATGGGCTCCCCTACATGGCCTTACATCCAATGTCATGGGCTACCCCACATGGTCTTCACCTAGGACTGCCATGGGCTACCCCACATGGTCTTACATCCAATCACATAATAAAACACATAATGTCTAACATATATATCATAATCACATAATGGGCCAGCCTTGGTGCCTTAGACCCATAGGTATGGTGAGAAGACTCACCTGTCACGAATGTTGAACTGACACTTTGCGACCAAATCTACTCTACGGGCTGCTCCACACAACTGCCTAAAAAGTGTCACACAATATCCAGTCATTTCACCAAGTCTACAATCCATGTTGACCCTAACTCGCCGAGTACAACTAGTGACTCGCTGAGTTTCCCGGGATAACATCTACTCGCCAAGTCATCGAGGTGACTCGTCGAGTTTGTACGGTCTTGATTGATAATCTAAGGTCATTTGTGATGGGTTTTGAGCATTATAACACTCCTTAAGTGTACATGCAACCCTAATAACCTTCAATCTATATTTTCTCTATATACATGCAAATTTCTTTTTCAAGGTTATTTCCTAAATAGCATGGCATGGGGAATATATGAAACATAAAAACTAGTAGATATACATACCTTGTTGTTGCTTGGATTCCTTCAAGAATTTTTGAGCCTAGCACCCCAAATGTTATGCCTCAAATGCTTCACACAACACCACAAAACTTGGAATAACTTGAGAGAATACTTCTTGCACTCAAAATTGGTTATGCCCTCTCTAGTAACACAAGGTGCCGATTTTGCTAGCCAAAGGGTCCCTTTTTTAGTGGTGTAACAATTAGGGTTTCAGTATGAAGATCCATAATTGTCATGACTCTTCATTTCTCATGACCCATGGGTTTGTAACTCCCATGGACTATCCATGGAGCTCCAAGTGGTTACATCCATAACCCATAAACCATGGATCATTAATTGTCACACCCCAAAACCAAGAACGACGGAAACGTTCTGGGGTGGAGGACGTCATGTAAAGTATCACAACACAGTAAATGTAAATAAGCAAACAACATCATCCATTGCATTAAATATATAATTTTAATACAAGCGTGTTCTGTACAGTTATAGACACCAAAAATAATGTAAATCAAAATAATAAGATAAGTCTTGGATGCGCTCCATCTTCTCAAAAGCTGGCCTCGATACCTGTCTACTGATGACCTGAGAATACAAGTTATTTTGAAAGAGTTTATCAACATTAAGCTGGTGAGTTCATAAGTATTTTAGTGTCGGTATTTGTCATCCAAAAATGTTTGAACATGTCTCAAGTGTAAGTTTGTAAAATGTAAGTAATTGTTTGTAAGTGTTTGTACATGTTTGAATCTCTCAGAAAAACCTATATTTTCTATTAAAGTAGCCTTCTACCAAGGCTTAACTGTTTTGTATGCTTGTTTGTTGTAAAAGTGTGTAATTTCCCAGGTGTAACTATCATTTCACAAAATATAGTTTCTACATTAAAGTTTAAGTGAAACAATCACTAAAAGTATGTAATGGGTAAATTATTGTAGTACTGTAGTGTTGTATTATAGGAACTACTGTTGTACTAACTACCTTAAACCGAATTTATATTAAGGTATCATGTGATAAGTTGCACCATACTATCGACTGGTAACAACGACATATGAATGGTCGTAATAACGGAATGACGTTTGGCACCCGTAGACCTGCAGGTCCGGCTGTAGCTAGCAGCAAGGTGTAGGATAGTCAATTCAGTATAGATCTATACGCAAACTCATGCTCTCCCTCCAAGAGAATTTTGGCTACAACTCGGGCCATGACATTTAAGGCATGCTCCGATACAGTGGATCACAATTGTTAACGTGTTCTTGTATATGTAATGTAATGAACTGTTCTAGTATAGTTGTATATGTTCTTCCTCTAGTATAGTTT